TGTGCTGTGGGGACCTGCCTGGAGGTGAGGCGGGGAGGGGGGGACCTGGACCACTCCAGAGCCTTCCTTGAGCAGGGACTGTCCAGATGGCCCGTGGCCGGAACTGAGGGAGGCCCGGGGTCCGCTGGGCTGCTGGCTGGGGGCTCCTGATGCTCTGAGGTGGGGTGGAGGGGAGGGAGTGGCTGGGCAACAGGGAGCCTCACTTTCCTGAAGGGAGAGTGTCCGGGAGGTAACAGAAGTCTGGGCTCAAGGGGGCCTCCTGGGGGTGTCCCCAGGGGCCTGGCCTGCAGTGTCTTCCCCTCCAACACGCTCTCCTGCCCTTCTCCTCTGTTGCGTGTTCTCCTCCTGCTTTTAAAGCCCACGGGACTGTGTGTACGACGCAGGCTCCTTGGAGATCTCCAGAACCTTCTAGAATCCTCACTAGACTCGGGCTTTTTATTTATTTAACGATGTTTTGGTATTTCTATGTGTTCAGCAGGACAGCTGTAGACAAGGAACACGAGAGCAAAGGGTCGTCCCAGGACAGCGGTCTCTACTCTCTGCACCGGCTCCCGTCCTCACCCGGAGCCCGTCCACTCGCTTTCACTCTGGCTTCCCGGGCCCTCCCCTCCTGTCACTGGCTGAGGTTGGCCTCCTGTCCCCAGTCCAGGGGTGCTGCTTCCCAGGGCTAGCGTGGCCGACCCCCGGTGCAGGGGCTGGGCAGGGGTCAGGCAAGCTGATCCCCGTCGCTGAGCTCTTTATGCTGCTCTGGGCACTGTCCACTTATGGCATCACAAACACCTGATTTGCCAGGCTTTTAACCCATTTATAACCACTCTGTACATTTATCACCAATTGTTTAATCGTTCCTCTAAAATAGGACTTTTGGGGCCCCTGGGGGGCTCAGATGGTTGAGCGTCTGGCGTCAGCTCAGGTCATGGTCCCAAGGTCTTGGGATCGAGTCCTGTGTTGGGCTCCCTGCTCAGTGGGGGTCTGCTCCTCCCTCTGCCTGCTGCTCCCGCATTATGCTCTCTCTCTCTCAAATAAATAAATAAAATCTTTAAAAAAAAATAAAAGAGGGCTTTTGGGTTATTTTTATTTATGTGCATTCACAATTGTTAGTATAGTGTAGTTTAAGATCGACTTCTAGAATTATTGGATCAAAATTTGAATTTCATGAGGTCTTTGACATGATGGCTCAACTCCTTTCCAAAATCTTTATAACAACTCCGCCATGTTGCCCCTGAGACGAAAATGATTTCTCAGTAATCAGGTGGACAGACTTAAGTCACCAACAGCATCTCATGGACCTGCCACCTTCCGCTTTAACTCCATTTGGCCCTAAAGGCAGGGCCTGGGATGGAGCAGCCCCCAGGTCGGAGCGCGGCCGCCCCTCCCTCTCCTCAGTCCCCGTGATGAGGCCGGCCAAGCCGTCACCCGCAGCATCTCGGACGGCACCAGCTGCGGCTAACAGGTGGCCTCCAGTCTCGGGGAGGTAGAGGACCCGCCGGGGATACACTGGGGTTTAACCAAGATTACCGGGCCTCTTCCTCAAATGTTGTGTTTTGGGGGTTGTGTCTATTACTAGGTTGTTTCTGGAATTTTAAAGCATGACTTTCCCTAGCACAGATGAAGGGGAGTGGGTAATTCGCTGTACGTCGTGTTGGGTAATTCGAGTCTTGAGGGTGGTCCTTGCCCACAGCTTGGAGGAAACAACGGATATGAGGCACCCAGGGCCAGTCATGGGCAAGGGGCCACGTGGGCCCCCAGAAGCGAGCTACAGGAGGGGACATCGCTCAGGGCACCCGAGCGCCCAGGACGTGGCCATCAGACTCCGTCAGCCTAGGCAGGGTCTGCAAACCAACGTGCGTTCCTGCCTCTGCAGACTGAGGAGGGCCCAGGGGCCGCCCAGGAGTAAGGGACAAGGGGCGTGAGTGCCGAGAACAGCCCGCGCTCCTCCGGGATACCAAGTGAGGGAAGCCTGTAAAGGACATCGTGGGTTCAGCTGGAGCGTGTGGACACACGGCAATTTAGGAGGACGTCCTATCACGCACGGGAGCTGTCCCGTGGTCCTGTCGGAGGACATCCCTGTTCTGGGGAGACACCTGCCACCAGACGTGACGTGTCCGCCCACGAGCCAAAGGTGGCAGAGTGACTCTCCGCACAAGCGAGGGGCAGGGGGCCTCCCAGAGTCCTGCGGGGTCTGAGACGTCTCCGGCTCCCTGCCTTCAGGGAGGGCGCGCCCCTGCCCAGATCTGGGGCGAGAGGCTGCTCGCGGGCCCCACACAGCACTTCCCGACTCAAGTGAAGACGCAGAGCCCAGGTAGAGATTCTCGTGCTACAAATGTGGCAACACCTTTTTTATTTAGAGTAAGATGTGTTAACATCCAGCATGACAAAATTTGTACAAAGTTCACAATTTAAAAATGAAGTGTCACTGCGACTCGTGATTCCACACATTTATAGCAAAATCAAAGTGTCCACAACCCATGCCGTGTCGTACAAAAATAAATGAAACTTCAGTTCCACAGAGAGCACAATAAATATTTATACAAAATTCTGTCTTAATAAATGATTACTTAAATTAACTTAGAAATGGTCATGAACAATAAGTTATAATAAATAGACTCTGAGACTCACAATAATTCCATGTGAAAGGTCAGCATTCTAATATGTGACACTTTGTGACCCTATATATAGTCGTCACAGATAACTTCTGATTTGATATTATGTACCAACATTAGATGAGCAGCGGACTTGTGCTTAGAACCCCTTTCCATTGTACATCGGTGATAACGCGGAGAATCCGGAACTGATACTACCTACCACTCTACTAAAAGCATTACTATATCGGCAAAAAGCTGAGACACGACGCGGCGGGGGAAATGCATTCGTGCCCGAGGGACCGGCGGGCCCCTGCGGGAGGCCCCCCACGGGGTCCCGGGCATCAGGGGACAAGAAGCACCTGGCTTCAGCTCTCGAAAAGGCAATTCTGCGCACGGCAGCTATAACTCGTCGCGGCGCAGGAAGAGGCTCTCCGGGGACGCCGCTGCCGAACCCCGGGGGGGGACCTCGTCTGTCCCAGCTCGTGATTCAAGTCCTCGTGGAAAACGGGAAGCGTTTGTACAGCAAGCCGCATAAAGTGCCGCTGGGACGCACATTTACTTATACACATATGTACACGAGGTCGAGATTGTATCAGAGTTCGCCGTGAGATCCCTGTAATCTCCCGTAGCAACTTCGTCGGGTCAGCCGTGCGGGCTCCCCTCCTCCTTCGGGGCCAGCCTCGCGAGGCCGCGACCCCAGGAATTGCACACCTCCGCACGGATATAGAGGACAAGGTAAGTGCAAATACTCGACTGGCACGTTGTGGGGACAATGACCCTGTAAGTCCTGTTCTGCTAAAAATATTTTTTTTTATTTTTACAAAACCCATCTTTTTTTTTTTTCATAACAAAATTTTAAAGTACTTCTGTACTTCCTGCATAACATCAAGACATGGAAGGAAGAGATGCTGTCACATGTAACTCAAGTCAACACCAGAAAGCACAACACGCCGTCCTAGGGACTACTCGGAAGGGGCGGGGGACGCGGCCGTCAGAAGTGGTCTGACGCGTACACATAGTGCAGTCACTGGAAGAAAACAATGGAACCTCCAAGTGTAAGCGAGTCTAAGATGACCTAGTGTAAAGCAAAAAAGTGCTCAAGTGTAGAGAATTACTCTGAAAATCTGATTGCATTCATTCTTAGAGTAGGTCGTGACCAATCAAACAGCAAGGCTATGCGAATGCCACGCGGTCACCCAGTCTCCAGGGGGAGGCGGAACAGGAGGGTCATCTGCGACGCGCTCTGCTGGGGATGGGACTGCCAGGCTCTAGGGACTGCCGGGCTCTGGGGACTGCCGGGGACGGGCCGGGCCAGCCTCGGCCCGGGGATCCCATTGCGCTGCCTTCAGCCCCCCAGCCCCGCGGAAAGCGCGTGCAGTAGCTCATGGAGAATCGCACCGCGGGCCTCACCCAGACAGGGAGAGATATTTACAGCCATGACGATGGTGATCATTTTTAAAAGTGGGGGGAGGGGAGCATAAATACTCTTAAATGAGCTTTGAACGTAAATGAGAGCACACAGGTTCTGTGAGACACACGCCATGACCATGACAGACAGTTTGAGGGGCACCGCGCTCTCGGGGAGACGGGGGACGGCTGCTCCAACGTCTACGGACCCTGCAACAGGACATCTCCGCACGGCCCACCTCTTACCAACCCTTGTCTGCACGGACGTGCCCAGAGTCCCACCACGTAATGCTCAGCAGTGAACTTAAAAGTGCTGTTTAAGCTGCTTGGAATCTTCTGCCAGATTTCCATGGCTTGATGTTGTCTTACAATAAATTACTTATCTCATCTCTTACAGTTAATCCATATGCCACTTCCTTGGAATGCAAAAAACCTCACTTAGTGCCCCCACCATACACCATCCTCTTAAAACAAACGAACAAAAAAATCACATAATATTTCCAAGCATTGTTCAAAAATAAAGCATTTTTTTTGCAACCGATTCTTGCTATGAAACAATATGCACACAAAATGTATTTCTTAATTCCATAAAATCCTCCAACATGAGGCAAAATGAGGATGTTTCAACAGTGGCTGCAAGGCCACCACGTGTTCATTCAAAGCTGTGGGTTTTTTTTGTTTTTGTCCATTTCAGTTCAAAATACTAAAACATTTAGTCACTAAAGCATTAAAAAGAATTTACACGGCATTTATTTTGATCGGCTCACCTCTTCAGAAATGCACAGCCCCCAGATGTGCAGAATTAGCAGCTAGAAACGTCACATGGCATCGTCACACTATGTCAGCTCATATGAAAACGTACAAAATGGGAATGTATCCAAAAACTATTCTGCGGGGAACTATCTTTAAAGCAAGACAGAAAATCATCATGAAGTCTCGTAAGCATAACACTGTTTCAAACAGAAATGAGAATATGACACTTGCGGGTGCATCCGGCAGTGCGGAGCCGGGGGCCCCGTGCGAGCAAGACCCCGCCTCGGTGGCAGACGCTCACACCTGGATTCCTCGGACAGCGTGCTTTATGTTTTCCAGAAGGGCTTTATTTTCTGGGCTCTGATAACGGTCTTGATTTGTATACATGTCCGTCAAAGTAGTCACGTACGCATCAAAATTTTGTTCATTGATTGGATCCTACGAGATATTAAATAGTGGTTCATACACTAGTTTCACTTTCTTAACAGGATACTCACATCAGCACAAAAGGGCATCCCAGCAGGACGCCACCGTCTTTACGCTACGGACACGGCCCTACCAGGGCCGAGAGCAGGATTCACCCCACGGGGCGCAGGGCCCTGCCCCACCGACGCCTCCAGCGCTCAGCGGTGCGGTCTGGGGGCAGTGACCGCAGCGACCCACAGTGTGGAGAGCCACGGACACAGAGACAGACATCTACCTCACGCCGTGCAGTGCGGGGGCCACCGGGCGCCCAGCGTCGCGCCCCTAGTCACTTACCATGTGTGGCAGCTGGATATTAGCCAGACTATGAATTAGGGACTGGCTCAGGTTGGCCAGCTCGTGCAGAAGGGACTCATTCTGCTGCTCGATCACTTTGTTTTCCTCCTCGATGGTCTTCAGGCTGCTCTCCATCGTGGTGATCTGGAACACACAGTTGGGGGACATGTAACACGAGGCGGGACACGCTGTCCCCGTGCCAAGAAAAAACCTTTTTGCTCGAACAAAAACACTTCTGTGCGGGGCGCCTGGGTGGCTCAGTGGGTTAAGCCTCTGCCTTTGGTTCAGGTCATGATCTCAGGGTCCTGGGATCGAGCCCCGCATCGGGCTCTCTGCTCAGCGGGGAGCCTGCTTCCCCTCTCTCTCTGCCTGCCTCTCTGCCTACTTGGAATCTCCGTCTGTGAAATAAATAAATAAAATCTTTAAAAAAAAAAAAAAAAAAAAGGACTTCCGTGACCAGAGCCAATCATATGAAGGGTTTGGTGTTTACGCTTGATTCATTCCACTGGAAAGGTCGGTAACTGGACGATGGGGCTCGTGTTTCTGGGGAGCAGCTCCTGGCTGTGTCCACTATTACTCAACGTTCACCAGTTCTGCTGTCTGGCCTGTCAGAGGCTGACGTCCCTGTCAGCCACTCTGACCCCTGGCCGAGGCCAACTCCCTCCAGCCCGGATCTAATTCTGCCGCCACTAAGTCCCGAACTGTAGTTCACTTGGGAGGCGGGTCACCGTCTAGGTCACAGGTGCCGGGAGCCCTGTGTTGATGTCCGTGGCCGGCCGGTCCCTTGCCGGTCCTCCGGTGACGCCCTCCTTATCTGCAGGCGGGGGACGGCCTCACATCTGCCTCCAGGCGGGCCTCCTCGGCTTCCTGGTACTGGCCAGAGGAAATCCAGCTGTCCCGCCCCCTGCAGCCTGGTGACCAGTGCTGACAGCCCAGTGCGCAGGGCGGCTGGAGGGGAGCTGCCCCGACCTGCCTGGGACTCAGGGAGCAAACACACAGCCAGGACACGGCCGGCTGGGTATGGGGACCGAGAACACCATTAGGGCCCGGGAAATGGGGAAGTAAACCCAGTCCCTCCCTGGAAGTTGCCTTTCTCCTGAGTTACCTGAACCCTGTCAGCACCCAACCCCGATTCTCATGGACAGGATCCCCTGCCTGGTGCTTTCTCAGGGGCCAAGATGTGGGGCTCGGTGGGGTGCTGCTGGCTTCACTTGGGCTAGATGAGACAGACACACTCTGGGTTGTTCTCAAAAACAGAAATGACAACACTTGTCCCAAGAGCATCTCCTAGAGAAGTGCACACTGTTTGCCTTAAGAAGACACAGGTCATTCCACATTTCTGTTCCAGTCGGGGTCCCAACTATAGTGACATACCCTGAAACCTCCTGGATTGGTCCCCAGCCCCTGTCTCCCTGCCCCCAACATTGGTCTCCCTGCCCCAGGCCCTATCTCCCTGCCCCCAGCTCCTGTCTACCTGCCCCTGGCCCTTATCTCCCTGCCTCCAGGCCCTGTCTCCCTGCCTCCAACCCCTGTCTCCCTGCCCCCAACCCCTGTCTCCCAGCCCTAGCCCCTGT